TGGCGGCAAAAAAAGCCAATGGGATTTTGGCCTGCATCAAGAGGAGCCTAGTGTCTAGATCTAGGGAAGTCCTGCTCCCCATGCTCTATTCCGCTTTGGTGAGACCACACCTGGAATACTGGAAGAGTTCCCTGGTTGCCACAGCATTGGACCATGCCAGTTGAAGTGAGGCGCGAGTTGAAGTGAGACGCGTTGCTCAGAGCAGTACGTGTGAAAAAGATCTTGGAGTCCTCGTGGACAACAAGTTAAACATGAGCCAGGAATGTGATGTGGCGGCAAAAAAAGCCAATGGGATTTTGGCCTGCATCAAGAGGAGCCTAGTGTCTAGATCTAGGGAAGTCCTGCTCCCCATGCTCTATTCCGCTTTGGTTAGACCACACCTGGAATACTGGAAGAGTTCCCTGGTTGCCACAGCATTGGACCATGCCAGTTGAAGTGAGGCGCGAGTTGAAGTGAGACGCGTTGCTCAGAGCAGTACGTGTGAAAAAGATCTTGGAGTCCTCGTAGACAAGAAGTTAAACATGAGCCAACAATGTGATGTGGCGGCAAAAAAAGCCAATGGGATTTTGGCCTGCATCAGTAGGAGCATAGTGTCTAGATCTAAGGAAGTAATGCTACCCCTCTATTCTGCTTTGGTTAGACCACATCTGGAATATTGTGTCCAATTCTGGGCACCACAATTCAAGAGAGATATTATATTTATTTATTTATTTATTTACTGTGCTTATATACCGCAATTCTCAGCCCAAGGGCGACTCATTGCGGTGTACAACATAGAAAAACAGGTGCAAAATACAAAACATAGTGTAAAATAATCCACAATTCATCAATTATCAAAAAAACATCTCATCAAACATCAACATTACTACAAAAGCCATTCCAAGTTGTCTCATCGTCAAGCCCACAATCCGATACCATTTCCGTTGTTCCATTCCTATGGTCAAATTACCAGTCATTGCACTTCTTGCTCAAATGCCTTCTTAAACAGCCAGGTCTTTAACATCCTGTGGAATATCAACAGGGAGGGAGCTAGCCTGATGTCCATAGGAAGGGTGTTCCACAGCCGAGGAGCCACCACCGAGAAGGCCCTATCTCTCGTCCCCGCCAGCCGTGCCTGTGACGCAGGCGGGATCGAGAGCAGGGCCTCCCCGGAAGATCTCAAAGTCCTCGTGGGCTCATAGGCCGAGAGGCGGTCAGTTAGGTATCTTGGGCCGGAACCGTTTAGGGCTTTATAGGCCAATGCCAGCACCTTGAATTGAGCCCGGTAGCAGATCGGCAGCCAGTGGAGCTGGTACAGCAGGGGGTTGTATGCTCCCTGCGTCCCGCTCCTGTTAGTATCATGGCTGCCGCACGTTGGACCAGTTGGAGCTTCCGGGCCGTCTTCAAGGCAACCCCACGTAGAGAGCGTTGCAGTAGTCTAAACGGGATGTAACCAGAGCGTGGACTACCGTGAGGAGATAAGCTGGAATGTGTCCAGAGGAGGGCGACTAAAATGATCAAGGGTCTGGAGAACAAGCCCTATGAGGAGCGGCTTAAGGAGCTGGGCATGTTTAGCCTGAAGAAAAGAAGGCTGAGAGGAGATATGATAGCCATGTATAAATATGTGAGAGGAAGCCACAGGGAGGAGGGAGCAAGCTTGTTTTCTGCTTCCCTGGAGACTAGGACGCAAGGGAACAATGGCTTCAAACTACAAGAGAGGAGATTCCATCTGAACATGAGGAAGAACTTCCTGACTGTGAGAGCCGTTCAGCAGTGGAACTCTCTGCCCCGGAGTGTGGTGGAGGCTCCTTCTTTGGAAGCATTTAAACAGAGGCTGGATGGCCATCTGTCAGGGGTGATTTGAATGCAATATTCCTGCTTCTTGGCAGAATGGGGTTGGACTGGATGGCCCATGAGGTCTCTTCCAACTCTTGATTCTAGGATTCCATGAAGGGGAGCCTTGCCTTGGAAGGCCTTACATCCGGGGCTCAAGGACTCTAAACCCCTTCATTAACCGCCCAACCCTTAATACACCCTTTCCCCAAGGAAGCCCCCCACTCGCCTGCCTCGCCGCCGCCCCGGTCCGCTCCCGCAAGGCCTTCAGGCGCTCCTTCCGCCTCAGAGCCTCTTCGTGCAGCGCCCCCGGAGGAGCCGCCATCTTGCCCGACCACACTGCGCAGGCGCCAGACGGAGATTGTCGCCCGGGGAGAGCTAGCGGAGCGCCGATACATCGATCGCATCCATCAAAGCCGCGGGGAGGCGTGGCGAGTACAGCGCCGAGGTAATCGATCGATGTCTCTTAGGACCAAAAGCACAATGCACTCCAATACCAATGGGAAGTTGTAGTTGTAGTTTTCCCCAATGCCTTTAGCCTCGAGGGTATACTGCAGAACTAAATGCAATGTGACAGACACTACTGTGTAACTGCCATGTTTCAATGCCATACAATCTTGGAAGTTGTAGTTTTCCAAGGTCCAAGAAACTTTGGATTCATCTATATATACTGAAGAATGAATGAACGAATAAATGATAACTGCCACGTCTCAATAGCATAAGAATCTTGGGAGTTGTAGTTTCCCAAGGTCCAAGAAACTTTGGGTCCATCTACACCATAGAAAGAAGAAGAAGGACAATGACAACGACAACAGGCACGTCACAATGCCATACAATCTTGGAAGTTGTAGTTTTCCAAGGACACGAAGGCACAAAGAGTCGGAAACGACTGAACAAATTAACACCGTAGAAAGAAGAAGAACAACAACACCGACAACAGCCACGTCACAATGCCATACAATCTTGGAAGTTGTAGTTTTCCAAGGTCCAAAAAACTTTGGGTCCATCTATATATAGTGTAGAATGAATTAATGATAACAGCCACTTCTCAATAGCATAAGATCCTTGAGAGTTGTAGTTTTCCAAGGTCCAAGAAACTTTGGATCCATCTATATATACTGTTGAATGAATGAACGAATGAATGATAGCTGCCACTTACTAGCATAAGAATCTTGGGAGTTGTAGTTATCCAAGTTCCAATAAACTTTGACCTGTAGAATAAATAAGAAGAAGAAGCAGCAGAAGAAGAACCAACAGAAGAAAAAGAAGAACCAACAACAACAACAACTGCCATGTCTTAATGCCATACAGTTTTGGGAGTTGTAATTTTCCAAGGTCCAAGAAGCTTTGGATCCATCTATATATACTGTAGAATGAATGAGTGAATGATAACTTGCACGGCTCAATAGCATAAGAGTCTTGGGAGTTGTAGTTTTCCAAGGTCCAATAAACTTTTGGTCCATTTATACCGTAGAATGAATAATGATGATGATGATTGGGTTGTTGTAGGGTTTGTCGGATTATATGGCCATGTTCTAGAGGCATTCTCTCCTGACGTTTCGCCTGCATCTATGGCAAGCATCCTCAGAGGTAGTGAGGTCTGTTGAAAATAGGAAAATTGGGTTTATATATCTGTGGAATAACCAGGGTGAGACAAAGGACTCTTGTCTGCTGGAGCTAGGTGTGAATGTTTCAACTGACCACCTTGATTAGCATTTGATGGCCTGGCAGTACCTGGGCTAATCAAGGTGGTCAGTTGAAACATTCACACCTAGCTCCAACAGACAAGAGTTCTTTGTCCCACCCTGGTCATTCCACAGATATATAAACCCTTTTTCCTAGTTCCAACAGACCTCACTACCTCTGAGGATGCTTGCCATAGATGCAGGCGAAACGTCAGGAGAGAATGCCTCTAGAACATGGCCATATAGCCCGGAAAAACCTACAACAACCCAATCATCATCATTATTATTCATTCTATGGTATAAATGGACCAAAAGTTTCTTGGACCTTGGAAAGCTACAACTCCCAAGATTGTATGGCATCAAGATGTGGCAGTTGTTGTTGTTGTTGTTCTTCTTCTTCTTCTTCTTCTTCATTCTATGGTGTATCTTCTTCTTCTTCTTCTTCTTCTTCTTCTTCATTCTATGGTGTAGATCAGTGGTTCTCAACCTGTGGGCCCCGGGTGTTTTGGCCTACAACTCCCAGAAATCCCAGTCAGTTTACCAGCTGTTATGATTTCTGGGAGTTGAAGGCAAAAACATCTGGGGACCCACAGGTTGAGAACCACTAGTGTAGATGGACCCAAAGTTTCCTGGACCTTGGAAAACTACAACTTCCAAGATTGCATGGCATTGTGATGGGGCTGCGGTCGCTGTTGTTGTTGTTGTTCTTCTTCTTTCTATGGTGTAGATGGACCCAAAGTTTCCTGGAGCTTGGAAAACTACAACTTCCAAGATTGCATGGCATTGTGATGTGGCTGTTGTCGCTGTTGTTGTTGTTCTTCTTCTTCTTTCTATGGTGTAGATGGACCCAAAGTTTCCTGGAGCTTGGAAAACTACAACTTCCAAGATTGCATGGCATTGTGATGTGGCTGTTGTCGCTGTTGTTGTTGTTCTTCTTCTTCTTTCTATGGTGTAGATGGACCCAAAGTTTCCTGGAGCTTGGAAAACTACAACTTCCAAGATTGCATGGCATTGTGATGTGGCTGTTGTCGCTGTTGTTGTTGTTCTTCTTCTTTCTATGGTGTAGATGGACCCAAAGTTTCCTGGAGCTTGGAAAACTACAACTTCCAAGATTGCATGGCATTGTGATGTGGCTGTTGTCGCTGTTGTTGTTGTTCTTCTTCTTTCTATGGTGTAGATGGACCCAAAGTTTCCTGGAGCTTGGAAAACTACAACTTCCAAGATTGCATGGCATTGTGATGTGGCTGTTGTCGCTGTTGTTGTTGTTCTTCTTCTTCTTTCTATGGTGTAGATGGACCCAAAGTTTCCTGGAGCTTGGAAAACTACAACTTCCAAGATTGCATGGCATTGTGATGTGGCTGTTGTCGCTGTTGTTGTTGTTCTTCTTCTTTCTATGGTGTAGATGGACCCAAAGTTTCTTGGAGCTTGGAAAACTACAACTCCCAAGATTCTTATGCTATTGAGACGTGCCAGTTATCATTTATTCGTTCATTCATTCTTCAGTATATATAGATGAATCCAAAGTTTCTTGGACTATATAGCGCGAAAAAACCTACATCAACCCACTATTATTTGTTTATTTATACCTCTGCTTTATCTCTCCCGAAGAGATAAAGCAGCAAAGGAAGTCAAAGGAAATCTTTACTTTGCTCTTCCCACCAAGGAGGTAGGGTGCATCCACACTGTAAAGTTAATGCAGTTTGATCTTGCTCTGACTCCAATGAATCAGTGCGATCGAATCCTGGGAGATGCAGCTTTACATGGCCTTTAGCATTTCCTGGTGTCACGCTAAACTACGACTCCAAGGATTCCATGGCAGGTAAATTGGTATTGAACTACATTAATTCTACAGTGTGGGCATCAAACTGTGGATATCAAACCGTGGAAAAGGAGAGCATAACGTCATGCCCAAGAGGGATAGAAAAATAGATGTGCAAACCATTCCCAAGGTCAGGTTCCTTTCCATCCAGATGTTTGCGTTTTGAATAATTGAGCAGCAGCGATGGTGCAAAGCCGGCTTCAAAGCAAAGAGGCGGCGATCGTGGCGTCAGTGCCAAGAACTGGAATAATGACGAATCCAGAGCAAAGTTGGAAGTGACAGCAAGGATGAAGGGCAGATTAAAGGCTTCTCCCAGGAATAAATTACTTGGATGTTGGAGAGATTTTCGGCAAGAGACTCATGAATATGCAGACCTGCCCTTGGGTGCATCTACATGTTAGAATTGATGCAATTTGGCACCGCTTCCACTCGCATGACTCAATGCTTGGGAACCACGGAACGGTCCCGATGTCTCCCCAAACTACAACTCTCATGACTTCATAGCTTTGAGTCATGGCAGTTCAAGTGGTACCAAGCCAAAGTGCATTAATTCGACAGTGTAGCTGCTGCATTTCCTAATCAGGCTCAAAATAGCATCGCAAAATTGCATTGCAAGTTTCACATCCATTTATAGCACCACGGGGATGTTCCAAAGGGCTCCAGAAGGACGCGAAAAGAAGGAAGGCACAGCAAAACAACTCCTACGTTTGGGCTTTCTGTGTATCATGCGGTGAACATCATACACAAAGAGCCTCATGCGCAATGCTATATTTATACATGGAGTTTGGAAGTTTGAGCAAGAACAGCGTGAGACGGAGCCACATGGGGAAACAATTGCCTTCCACCCACTGAGGAATTTCCTTTTGTACTATGCATCCCAAACCAGATGGAAATCCCCCCCCCCACCCCCAAGTTTGCACCTTTCCTTGACAACAGCAGTGGTGCATTTCCATATTATGTCCAATACATAAAGACAGCTTTCCTTGGAAATCTCACCATCAGTCTCCCTAAATTGGAAATAATAATAATAATACTTACTTAGGGGATCCCTCGTAGTCTGAGGATGATGGTCCTCCAAGTGTAGTATCCTTGCGATGGATTCGTAGGTGACTGTGGCGCCCTATTCTTGATCTGCATCTTCTCCCACAGTGAGGGCATCGGTTTCCAGGTGGAAGGCAGACCCAGTTGGGGTTAGCTTGATGCGCCTTCCTCTTGGCACGTTTCTCTCCATTCGTGCTTCTTCAAATTCTGCAGCACTGCTGGTCACAGCTGACCTCCAACTGGAGCGGTCACAGCTGACCTCCAGCTGGAGCGCTCAAGGGCCAGGGCTTCCCAGTTCTCAACGTCTATGCCAGAGATTTTAAGGTTGGCTTTGAGCCCATCTTTCAATCTCTTTTCCTGTCTACCGACATTCCGTTTTCCATCCTTAAGTTCAGAGTAGAGCAACTGCTTTGGGAGATGGTGGTCAGGCATCTGGACAACGTGGCCGGCCCAGCGGAGTTGATGGCGGAGGACCATTGCTTCAATGCTGGTGGTCTTTGCTTCTTCCAGCATGCTGACATTTGTCCGCTTGTCTTCCCAAGAGATTTGCAGGATTTTTTGGAGGCAGCGCTGATGGAATCGTTCCAGGAGTTGCATGTGACTTCTGTAGACAGTCCATGTCTCGCAGGCATATAGCAGGGTTGGGAGGACAATAGCTTTATAAACAAGCACCTTGGTCTCCCTACGGATGTCCCGGTCCTCAAACACTCTCTGCTTCATTTGGAAAAATGCTGCACTCGCAGAGCTCAAGCGGTGTTGTATTTCAATGTCAATGTTGACTATTGTGGAGAGGAAGATGCAAAGGTAGCGGAAATGGTCAATATTTTCTAATGTTACACCATTAAGCTGTATCTCTGGCGTT